CGGGGACCCCCCGCCGCTCCCTACCGTCCCGGAGCAGTCCCTGCAGGAGCTCCCCGGCCTCCGAGCCGGGCGGGCTGGAGTCCCTCTCGTCCTCCTCGTCGGTGGTGGGATCCAGCGCCGAGTCAGGCCCCGATTCCCAGTCGGCAGCTGCGCTGCAGGAAAGAGGGATCCCTTGTGGAAAAACTCCCCTCCCGCTGGGCCGGTCCGGCGGCAACGGAGCCCGGCACAGGCTCTTCTCCCTCCCCGGAAAAGCAGAGGCGGACGGAGAGCGGCGGAGCCGCCGGGCACTGGCTAAACCGGCCCCTCTGCTTCTGATCCCTATGGGGAAACTGAGGTTCCAGCCGGTGCCTCCGGCCTGAGCTTGTACCGATTGCCTGTGTCGGATGTGCGGCAGCAGGCGCCGGCTCCGCGAGCGCCTTTCCATTCTGGGAGAGAAGGCTCATTGCTAAATATAGTCGTAAGCCTCATTAAAATGTTACCAAGAGACTTAATTGCAAACAGAGCTTTTTTTTTTTTTGGTCCTCTCCTTAAGACTCTGGGCAGCTCCCTGGGCTGTTCGCACCGGTGCTCCTCCGTGGCATTCCCAGCCTGGGCGTTCCAGGCAGGAAGGGGCTGCGGATGCTCCCGGGGTGTCCCAGCTCACCTGGAGCTCAGCGATGTGGGGCTGCCGGGACACTCGTCGCTCCGGGTGCCGACGGGACCCTCCGGCTCCAGTCCCGCTCCCTGCGGGACAGCGCGTCAGTCCCGGCCTGTGTCCCGCATGGAGACATCAACCCAGCGTGGGGGGACACCTGGATCGCTCACCAGCGGCTCGGGGGAGCCAGGGGGGCTCAGCGGGATCTTCTTCAGCACCAACGTGGCCCCGCTCGGCTGCTCCCGCAGCTTCTTTGCCAGGTTGGCCGGGGTCCAGCCCACCTGCGAACGGCACCGGCCCCCGCGCGGGGACACATTCCCAGCAGCTCCGCGGATGCATCCCAGCGTCCCACAAAGCTCCCCGGGAGGGACGGAGCGGAGTTGGCACCCGGAGCGCCGCGCGCTGGGAAACCCGGCAGTGCAAGGGGTGACCCCAGCCCCAAATCTCCCCCCGCCAGCACCCGGGCAGAGGTTGGGACTCCCGAATCCCGGCCTTGGTCCCCCCGGACTCACCACGACCTGCTCGTTGACCTGCACGATCTCGTCTCCGGGCAGGAGCTGGGGCCCGTGCAGGGCCAGCGCCTGGGGACAGAGCGGGGGTGGCTTAAGCATTAACCGGCAGGCCTGACCACGCGGCAACGCCGGGCGGGACGGCGGCGCGGAGCGGAACCCGGCACCTTGCTCACTCG